GTCCAATATATATCCACACCATGTGTATCTAAAGTGAAGTCCATATAACACTCCCACTAATGAAGTCCTCGCCCTGGACATAACGTGCATGTGGGGAGGAGCCTAAAGTGTGACGTCATCCTGCGGCCATCTTGCCTTCCCAGCGTGTTCCTGGTGTGCGTGATATGTGATCCTAACTAGCACTAGTTTTAGTGCCATACACTGTAAGTGCGAGTTTAGCTTTTTAATAAACTGCTGTTTATGCAGAGAACACTAGATTCTGTATTCTGTTTCTACACATACTATACATTCCTGCCGTTGAGTGTTCCATCTGAAGGTGGAAGAGATACTGTACTTGCTATTCATATGTAGAAGTCAACTGCCCCAAGAGGGTAAAAGTGCTTTATGGCCTGACTGGTAATGCAGGGGTTATGTATTGGAGGTGAGCAGCCATCTGATATTTGGTGGTGGAAGCAAAAAGAGCAGTTTTTTATACACTGTTCTAAAAAATTAAAGGAACGCTTTTAATCAGAGTATAGCATTGAGGAAATTAAACTCCGGGGATATTGATCTGGTTAGGTAAGTAGCAGAGGGGGTTGTTAATCAGTTTCAGCTACTTTGTTGGAAATTAACAACAGGTGCACTAGATGGGCAGCAATGAGATGACCCCCCAAAATAGGAATGGTTTTACAGGTGGAGGTCACTCACTTATTTTTCCCTACTCTTTTCTGGCTGTTTTTTACTAGTTTTGCATTTGGCTAGGGTCCGTGTCACTACTGGTAGAATAAGGAGATACCTGGACCCTACAGAGGTTGCACAGGCAGTCCAACTCCTCCAGGATGGCACATCAATACCATTGCCAGAAGGTTTGCTGTGTCTCCCAGCACAGTCTCAAGAGCATGGAGGAGATTCCAGGAGACAGGCAGTTACTCTAGGAGAGCTGGACAGGGCCGTAGAAGGTCCTTAACCCATCAACCCATCAGCAGGACCGGTATCTGCTCCTTTGTGCAAGGAGGAACAGGATGAACATTGCCAGAGCCCTACAAAATGACCTCCAGCAGGTCACATGGTGTGAATATCTCTAACCAAACAATCAGAAAAACAGAAACAAAATTTTGCACAGCAGCAATTTAAAAGGGTGATTTATTGATTTTGATTGGCGCAGGAATATTTTTTTCTTTAGTTTTAATCAGAAACAGGCTTCATGAGGGTGGCCTGAGGGCCTGACATCCTCTTGTGGGCCCTGTGCTCACTGCCTGGCACCATAGAGCTTGATTGGCATTTGCCATTGAACACCAGAATTGGTAGGTCCACCACTGGCCCCCTGTGCTTTTCACAGATGAGAGCAGGTTCACCCTGAGCACATGACAGACGTGAAAGGTTCTGGAGAAGATGTGGAGAACATTCTGCTGCCTGTAACATGGTTCAGCATGACCGTTTTGGTGGGGGGTCAGTGATAGTCTGCGAAGGCATCTCCATGGAGGGACGCACAGACCTCTACAGGATAGACAATGGCACCCTGACTGCTATTAGTTATCAGGATGAAATCCTTGGACACAATGTCAGGCCCTAGACTGCAGGGGGTCCTGGGTTCCTCCTGGTGCAGTGGGTCCTGGGTTCCTCCTGGTACATGACAATGCCCGACCTCATGTGGCGAGAGCATACAGGCAGTTCCTGGAGGATGAAAGAATTGATACCACTGAATGGCTCCCACGCTCGCCTGACCTAAATCCAATAGAACACCTCTGGGAAATCATGTTTTGGTCCATCAGACGCCGCCAGGTTGCACCTCAGACTGTCCTGGAGCTCAGTGATGCCCTGGTCCAGATCTGGGAGGAAATCCCCCAGGACACCATCCGTGGTCTCATTAGGAGCATGCCCTGAGTACCATTTTGAGTTCCTGCAATGACATTTCAGCAAAATGGACGCGCCTGCTGCATGATTTTTTCACTTTGATTTCCGGGGTGTCTTTGAATTCAATCTTCTGTAGGTCAATCATTTTCATTTCCATCAAACGATGGGGCATCCTTACATTCCTAACACATTTTCCCAGTCCATATCAGTATAGATATCCAGCAGGAGATTTTTCCCCATTGAGATTTGATGTGTTTTCAAAGTGTTCCTTTAATTTTTTTGAACAGTGTATTATATAGATTTCACATGGTGTGGATATATATTGGACTTTATCATTTATTTGTGCTGTGCTACACTATTTTTCTTTAGATTTTTGGAAAGTGGTGTGAATTCATTTGAAGTGTATAGTTTGCAGCCTGTAGAGTATTTTATTACTTTTTTGCTAATCCTTATTGTTCACATTTATTATATTTTGTGTTTGGTTGATTCATTTATAATTGATTCATTTATATATTTTATTAATATTACCACTATAACTTTATTGCACAGCACTGGGCCCCTGAGGTGTACTGAATATCCTGAAAGCTCTTGTGACGTCTCCCTCCTTGATTTAGGTATATTTACGGTAAGGTCAGTGACATGTATTGTTGCAGTTGAGTCAGATGGGCCCCATCAAAGTTTCGCTATTGGGCCCCAAAGATTTGTAGTTAGACCCTTGAGTCAACCAGAAACTGTTTTTTTTTCTTAGTTTTGGATAGAGTACAGAAGGACATTAACCCTGCATGCGTATTATAGTCATAAATCCTAGAGTTTCTCTTCAGCTAAAGCCTGATAAGACAGATAAAATCATTATGGATATTAATATTATTATTGTAGCACTCACCCCTAAAGTGGCTGCTGGAAACAGAATAAATGTACTAAATAGTACAGAGGCCACCAGTCACACAAGTACACCAACAATTAAATCTCAGTCTAGGGGGTGTTTTTTCAGGATTTATTGCAGAAAAAACTGTAATAGGAGGAAGGTGTTTGAGGTCACGGAATACTCCAAAACATTCAGCAGCAGGGACAAAAGGACAAATTTCTCCGTAGTCTCTCTCTTTATAGCAGCTTCTGTGGAAGTAGTAAGGAATAATTAGTGTATCGCAGACCAGCTTGTTCCAGAGGCAAAGGGAAGCAATCAAACTCTCAGTTCAGGAGCCCTGATCAGACCAAAACAGTCAACAACCACTCCACTCACTACAATGTACCAAAAAACTAAATTTACCGAGCAACCTAAGAGGGCGCTACAGTGTTTTTGCTACTACAGCTATACATTTTATCCATAGCACTGGTCCCTTGTAGTGTAGTGACTATGCTGACACCTACAGTTGCAAGAAAAAGTATGTGAACCCCTTGGGATTACGTGGAGTTTTGCATGAATTGGGCATAAAATGTGCTCTGAACGTCATCTAAGTCACAACAATAGAAGAACACAGTCTGCTGAACATAATACTACACAAACATTAGATGTTGCCATGGTTTATTTGCACATAACATGTAAACATTCACAGTGCAGGGAGGAAAAAGTATGTGAGACCCTAGCTTAATGACTTCTCCCAGAGCTAATTGGAGCCAGGAGTGAGCCAACCTTGACTCCAATCAGTGTGATGATATTGGATGTGTTGCTGACAGCTGTCCTGCCCTTAAAAAACACACACCTGTTTTGGGTTTACTGGTTTCAAGAAGCACTGTCTGATGTGAACCATGCCTCGCAGAAAAAGAGCTCTCAGAAGACCTACGATCAAGAATTGTTGACTTGCATGAAGCTGGAAAGGGTTACAAAAGTATCTCCAAAAGCCTTGATGTTCATGTGTCCACGGTAAGACAGACTGTCTACAAATGGAGAAAGTTTAGCACTGTTGCTACTCTCCCTAGGCGTGGTCGTCCTGTAAAAATGACTGCAAGAGCACAGCGCAGAATGCTGCATGAGGTAAAGAAGAATCCCAGAGTGTCAGCTAAAGACCTACAGAAATCTCTGGCACATGCTAACATTTTTGTTGACACATCTACAATAAGGAAAACATTTAACAAGAATGGAGTACATGGGAGGACACCACGGAGGAAGCCATTGCTGTCCAAAAAGAATATTGCAGCACGTTTGAAGTTTGCAAAAGAGCACCTGGATGTTCCACAGCACTACTGGCAAAATATACTGTGGAAAGATGAAACCAAGATTGAGTTGTTTGGGAAGAACACACAACACTGTGGAGAAAAATAGGCACAGCACACCAACATCAAAACCTCATCCCCACTGTAAAACATGGCGGAGGGAGCATCATGGTTTGGGGCTGCTTTGGTGCCTCAGGCCTGGACGGATTGTTGTCATTGATGGGAAAATGAATTCCAGAGTTTATCAAGACATTTTGCAGGAAAACGTACGACTATCTGTCCTGCCAACTGAAGCTCCGCAGAGGATGGGTGATGCAACAGGACAATGACCCAAAGCATACAAGTAATTCAACAAAACAATGGCTGCAACAGCACAGAATACGCCTTCTGGAGTGGCCCAGTCAGAGTCCTGACCTCAACCCGATTGAAATGCTGTGGCATGACCTTAAGAGAGCGATTCACACCAGATCCCCAAGAATATTGCTACACTGAAACAGTTTTGTGAAGAGGAGTGGTCCAAAATTGACTCCAGATCGTTGTGCAGGTCTGATCTGCAACTACAGGAAATGTTTGGTTGAGGTTTTTGCTGCCAAAGGAGGGTCAACCAGTTATTAAGTGCAAAGGTTCACATACTTTTTCCTCCCTGCACTGTGAATGTTTACATGTTATGTGCAATTAAACCATGGCAACATCTAATGTTTTGTGTAGTATTATGTTCAGCAGACTGTGTTCTTCTATTGTTGTGACTTAGATGACGTTCAGAGCACATTTTATGCCCAATTCATGCAAAACTCCACGTAATCCCAAGGGGTTCACATACTTTTTCTTGCAACTGTATCTGTGCTTGAGTGTAGGGATGGTGTTCTAAGGATCATAGCATTTATCTTCCTCCAAACACGGCAAGTCGAGTTAATGCCAAAGAGCTCAATTTTGGTCTCATCTGACCAGAGCATGTTCTCCCAATCCTTCTCTGAATCATTTAGATGTTCATTGGCATACTTCAGATGGACCACTACATGTGCCTTCTTGAGGGAGGGGACCTTGCGGACACTGGAGGATTTCAATCCATGGCGGCATATTGTGTTACCAATGGTTTGTTTAGTGACTGTGGTCCCAACTGACCTGAGATCATTCACAAGCTCCTCCCGTGAAGTTCTGGGCTGATCCCTCACTTTTCTCATGATCATCCTTACCCCATGAGGTGAAATCTTGCATGGAGCTCCAGACCGAGAGAGATTGATGGTTATTTTGTATTTTTTCCATTTGTGAATAATCGCTCCAACAGTTTTCTCCTTCTCCTCAAGCTTCTTGGTGATGGTCTTGCAGCCCATTCCAGTCTTGTGCAGGTCTACAATCTTGTCCCTGACGTCCTTTGAACGCTCTTTGGTCTTGCCCATGGTGGTGGCCAAGAAAGAGATTCTGTGGACAGGTGTCTTTTTATACACACAATGAGTTATCGTTAGGAGCACCTTTTTAAATTGACAAGACTAATCTGTGTATTACATGAGCACATAGCCAGTCTGTGGGAGCCAGAATAGTTGTTGGTTGGTAGGGGATCAAATAAATATTTTACTCACTGAACTGCAACTCAATTTATAACATTTGCATCATGTGCTTTTTTCTCGATTTTGTGTTGATATTCTGGCTCTATCATTTAACATACACCTATGATAAAAATGCTAGACCCTTAATTTCTTTGTAATTGGGCAAACTTACAAAATCTGCAGGGGAACAAATTATTATTTTCCCCACTATAGCTTGGTAACACTTGAACACTTGAACAATCTTGTCCCTGACGTCCTTTGAACGCTCTTTGGTCTTGCCCATGGTGGTGGCCAAGAAAGAGATTCTGTGGACAGGTGTCTTTTATACACACAATGAGTTATCGTTAGGAGCACCTTTTTAAATAGTTTGGTAACACTTGAACTTGCAATTGCACATTAAAAGAAAGATCCTCAGGACTGATAGAGAAAAAAATGGCAGACTTCTTCTGCTACTCTACTAATTCTGTTCAAAAGGCCAATGCTTTGCTTTAATAATAGTAGACCACTTACATGCTCCCTTCTACAATATAACACAAGGATTAGCCTTTGAGTTTCGGAGGGTAGATGACCATTTTGACACTACACTGAGGTGTTGACGGTCATGGTGTGAAGAAATGTACACTCAGGTCCAATCACCTCTGCTTCCTAAAAGATGCCTTTGGGCCAAATCTGCAGAAAGATGATAACCATGCCACTGGAATACAGAAATGCTCTTTACAATATACAGCACAGGATTACAAGCTTTCACGCATTTTGTGTTGCTCCAAAAGCTTCCTCAGGAACTGGGGAATCAGACGAGTATGGACATACACCGAGCAGGGGTGGAATGCCAGTTATGCCTTGAGGGAAAACTGAGGCCCTTAGCAGGAAGACATGGCTCCCTGTATGTATCTTGCTTCTGAGATTTTAAAAGATTTTCTCAAGACAACTCAAACATTTTATTTCTTGGTACTGCATCAGAAGGAGTTGCAGCCAAGCTGAAGATAAATTGACGGTTTTATTTTTAGCATGAGGTGTAAGTTTCCTTCGATCTTTGGATTCCAGAATTGCACCTTGTTGAGCACCAAGGTGACATTGTACGCTGATCACAGTCACATCTTTGTGACAACCAACTAGTCCTGAGGGGGAGAAAAAAGCTTGAAATGGGCCACAAGGGCCACCCAGCTGGAAGATATTTGACTCTCATCTCTTTACTGACTGCACCAAAAAACATCTGAATATTTATACAGGGACTGAGAAAATGTTCATGGGAAAATTAGATTTTTCATTCTCATTTCTTTCTTACTGTAAGGGAACTTATGGTATTTTCCATGTTTTAATAGATACAGTATGTGTGACAAAAAGTCATCTTAATGTAAAATTGTATTATTAGTGTTTGTTGAAGTTTCATGTATAGCCAAAATGTTTCTTTTTTTAGTTTTTGGATAGAAAAAGGAATGTTAAAATCCCTGTCTTTTTTTTTTTTTTTTTTTTGCTTTGTGTGCCCTATTTTGGAGATTTGTCTTCATTTCCTGTTCTGGAGATCCTACAGGAAATGAGAGGAACTCTCTACAAAATGACAAATATTTTCTTTTAGACAGTTGTCACCAGAACAGACATGAGAATTAACCTCCCTAGCGGTCTGATTATTTCAGATTTTTGGTGCTGAAAGCGGTACATTATTTTTGCATGGAAATATGTCGTTTTTTTATTGTAGGCCTGTAATATTTAGGAATAACGCACTGAAATCTGTCTGAACAAGAGTCTAGTAAACATCCCGGGTATGATAAAATTTTAAACACAAAATCATAAATTATAATTGAATAAATAATCATAAAAAATAATAATATAATAATAATAAATGTAATTCAATAATATAATCAAACCAAAAACACTGAAATGTGAAATAGAGCGCCAAGTTCACACATCGCTGAGCAAAGTGCAAAATCGTTTTCAGTGTCTGATGAGGAATTTCCCCCACGAATCATTATCACTCAATTCTGCAAGTGGTTCTGATTTACTATCGCTGTTCTCTAGCCGGTCTAAAACCACTTTTGACCTAAAGGGACACTTTTTGGACGCCATGGACTTTTCTAAGTTTCCAGGCAGAAAGAACAGTAAAAATGCAGGCAGGGCGCCGGACAAAGCACTCGGGACAAAATGTATGTGAAATGGTTTGAAACAGCAATGTTTTACTCTGTAAAATTAGTTTTGAAAAAAATGACTTTTTTTTAAATTTTCAAATTTCCCGCCGCCGGCGGTGCCCGTACGTCCCGACGTCACAGGGACTGGAACACAGAAGCCGGATGACAGCATCAGCCGGAGGAGATGGCCGGGGACGCTGCAGGGGACACATCGCGGGAGCGAAGGACAAGGTAAGTGCTGCAGGGACTCCCTATGCAGCACCGCATGGTAAGCCCGAGTGTAGCTCGGGGTTACCGCTTTTGGTACATTAACTTTACCCCGAGCTACACTCGGGAAAACCGCCAAGGAGGTTAAAACAGGTACCCTCTATGCAGGGGTGTATTTACCACAAGGCAAACAAGGCATTTGCCTAGGGTGGCATTTTTCAGGGGGCGGCAGCACTGCCATTAGAAGAAGGGTCAGCGGCACACCGGAGGATAGATGAATATAGTGTGTATTTATTGATCCATAGGACACACAAAACACCAGGACATGAATACAGGACCTGTTAATGCTTTTCACACGATCTTGTGCTTAATCATAAACTGCCCCATGGAAGAAGGGATGGAAGGAAGAGACACACGCAGCATGGGGACCTGGTGGATTCCGAGAGATGCTGTGGGTTTCATGATGGTGTATGCACAGCCCGACTCTCCTTCCTGGGGATGTCCGGAGCTGTGAAGGTGAGTGTCTTTCTCTCTCAATGGGGGATGGTGGCTGGTGTATGGGGGGCAGTGGTAGTGGGAGGCTCGGGTGGAGTGCAGGGGTGCTCTTGATCAATGTCAGGCTTTTGCTGTGGGGGGGGGGTCAATTTTTGTGTTGCCTAGGGCAGCACAAAACCTAAACACACCACTGCCTCTATGCAATAGGAAATTGCCTTACATTGGAAAATAGAAGTGGTACTCCAAGGAAGACAATATGATGTTAATGGAAAATATATGCTATACACGTCTGGATTCTGAGATTCCTTTTGATGCTAAATGGGACCCATGGATCCTTTATCGCCTTCCTGCATAATTAGAGGTATCTATTGGATTTTCCTTTCGTATGGATGTTGAACAGTTAGTTGGAAATCTTGTAGTCAGCTTTCTTGTAGAGTATAGTTGTGTATTGTCAACATCGTTTTGTTTTATTTGGCTGTCTATATGGTACACAATCTATTTACAATTGACATCTACTTACCTGGATCGTTTTTTGAAATTTTTGTATATTGTTTTTGTAATTTTTTTGCTTGGTCAAGATAGACTTTGTATTACTTTACAAACTATTGTATATTATGGTCTAAGTAACCTGCTTATGGATGATACTTTCCATGAAATTGTTATTGGCATTGTCAACCAAGCTTTTTTTTTTTATAAAAGTTTGTAAACAAAAAAAGAAAACTAAAAAAAAAAAAAACAGGTAATTCCTGTTCTGGTGCCCACTGTAAGTTTTCAGATTTCCCCTCACTTTCTGTTTTCTGACAGTGGCTACCAGGATAAATAGAGAGAGTGAATCTACATCCTGGGAAAACAGACAGCAACACAAACCTCACAGAGGTTCTTATATTTCCCCACTACATCCAAAACAAAATTCACTTATGGCTAGACACACTTTTTAATTTTTTTAATTAAGTGTTCCTGCATGCCAAGACCACTTCCTGTTATCTCACATATATATTCTTCTTATTATAGCCAAATTTACCACCCTAACTCCTCCCACAGTTTTTTTACACTACATAGACAGTAATATACGGAAACGTGCGGATTGTTCCCGATTGGTGTGCTATTACTTTGTGGAACGTTTCACCGAATGGTTCATGAAATATCAGTGTTTTTGTGGTGAAAATTGGTCCCATAGGAATGAATGGCAGAATGTTCAAAACTAGAGTGGGAGCTGACAAAAGCTAGAGTGTGAGCTGAAAAATCAGGACATGATTTCTAAACTGCCATCATTCCCTCATTTTCAAGCCCACCTACACAAATCTTATATCAAAACGTTCAGCTATCCCTGCTGCCACTAAAAATGTCCACGGCTAAACCATAGTCCTGATAGTTTTCACAATATGACCATTTGTTTGCAACTCATGCCGCCCATTGACATTCATTGAAACTCCACTTTAGCCACCTCAGATTTGAAGGGAAATTTCTAAACTGCGACTGTGCCTTAATTTTTAATATTTCAGAGACATACTATGCATCAAAATGTAGGTCTAGGTCTTGTGATTCTCACAATATAAAGCTCTTCGGTGTAGGATTTATAATTTTTAAACTACAACCATTTGAAGATGGCAACTGCCAACGAAGTGAGCAAGTTGGAGCAGTTTGTTTTTAACCGCTCTTCTCTGCCTTGCCCTTGCTGTAGAGTGAGTTGCCATAGGAACCCAGGTGTGTGAACATGCAGCTGAGTGTGAAAAGCTAGAGTGTGAGTTGTAGACTACTGGTGGAGGCAAGAACACTTCACACAATTTCCCCAGAAATTGTAGCTTTTCTAGTTAATAAT